GTGCCGCCGCCGCGGCCGCGCTCACCCAGGCTGTCGCGCTGGTTCTCCACGGTGTCGTTGACGCGCCGAGCCACCCTGGCCACGGCCTCCCCCATCTTGTGCATGCGGGAAGCTCCGACGGGGCGTCCGCGGTGGCTGAAAACGAGCGGTGGGACGAGGCGCGTGGAGCTCCGGCCTCCGCTGCCTCTTGCCTGGCACCAGCTCCGCGCTGGCGCGGCACCAGGCCGAGCTCCAGGCAGATCGGAGCGAATCCAAGGTGCCGCGGGCACCACGGGATCTGCGCAGGGCTTTACATGGAGCAGGGGGCACATGCAGCGCTCTGGGGTCATTGCACGGAGCAGGGGGGCACATGCAGTGCTCTGGGGCCCTTCATGGGGCCAGGCACGTCGAACCGAGGGGATCCAGCCCGCATATCCCTCCCGATCCCCGGTGGATTGCGCAGCCCGCTCGCCCGCCCCTCTCCATACCCACGTGAATCCCGGGAGAAAGAAAGAAAAGGGAGCGGCCGCTCGCTGTCCCTTCCCACGCCGGGAGTCGAACCCGGGCCGCCTGGGTGAAAGCCAGGAATCCTCACCGCTAGACCACGTGGGAGCGCGCCCGGCGGCTCCCCGCGGCGCCGCGCCACGGGGCGGGATCCGGGAGGCGGGATCCGGGGGGCGGGATCCCGGGGGCGGGACCCGGGGGGGCGGGATCCCGGGGGCGGGATCCTTCTCCACCACCCCCGGAGGTGAGGCCTCCCCGCCGGGGCTCCCCCGGCCCCTCCGCTGCTGCCCCTGCGGGAAAGCGCCCCCTCGGCGCGGGGAGATGCGGCCCGCGGCGCCCCGCGCTGCTCCGCGGGCGAGACGCGCCCGTCCCGTTGGGCTCGGGCGGTAAAACGGGATTCCCGCCCTCGCCCCCCATCCCGAGCGCGCGGCTTCCCAAGGGAAGAGCGCGGATGCGCGCGCGGCCCACACCGGCACCGCAGGGCGATGTTTTCCTGCCGCTCCGCCAAGAATAGCCTCGCGCGAGCCTTATCTCGGAATGAGAGGCGCTCTGCTCGATAAAGTTATGTGTGTTTTTGTTTCGGTTTGTTTTGTTTTGGTTTTTTGCTTTTCCCGCCCGTCCCGGCCTCGGCGCCGCCAGGTACGCGCATCATCTACGACCGCAAGTTCCTGCTGGAGCGCCGCAACTCGCCCATGGCGCAGACGCCGCCGGGCCACCTCCCCGACATCCCGGGTGTCACGAGCCCCGGCTCCGGCGCCGAGGAGGCCAAGGACGAGCTCGCCAACCACGACGGGAAGCCTCCCATGGGTAAGAGCACCTCGAGGCGAGCGTGGATGCGCTGGAGCATCCCGGCCCTCTCCGAGGTCTTCCCGCCGCCCTTCCTGACACCCCTTTCCCTCTTCCTGCAGGGGACGAGGCGCAGTTTGAGATGGACATGTGAGCAGACGGCACCCGCACGCGCGGCGGGACCCTTCGCCCGGAGGAAGGGCCACGCGGCGCCGATCCCCATCCCGAAACCCGTTTTAAGGACTCGGCACCCTCTCCTGCGGCGCCTCCGCTCCACTTCCTTCCCTGCTTCCCGCTCCGCTGCCAAAGCGGTTCCCTGGGTTTGGGCTGGACGAGGACTCCTAGCCCGGCCCTTCGGTGCTCCCAGGAACCCTGCGGCATTGGGCAGCGCAACCGGAGCGCGTGGGAGCCTCACACAGCGCAGATCCCGTGTTTTTATTCTCGGTACCAAAAAGGGGCACTTTACCAGCAACTTCCTTCCGGGGAGGGAGCAAACACGAGCCACCAAGTGCTCTCCCCATTGCTTTGTTTTTCCCTTTTTTAAATCCCCCCCCCCCCCGCCCCGTC